AAAAAAAAAAAAATTAATTAATTAAATAAAATGAAAATAATAACATAGTTTTTGTAAAAATTAATAATAACAAAATAACATAAAATAACAAAAAAACAAAAAAAACAAAAAAAATAAAGAAATGATTAAGAAAAAGAAACTCATCTCCGAGTATGAGAAAACAATTTTGTGTCGCAAATAATTTGTTGGGCGAGTGAGGGTCCATGCAAATGACAGTAATGAGTGAAGGCTTGCTTCTAAATTCAAAACATATTAAAATGGGTCGCGAGAAGGGGGGTTTTCAAGCTTTACTCACACAGCTACCTCTTGTAAATGTTTGCCATGCGGTTTAACGGTTATTCATTTACGGCTTGCGACCGTAAGAACAGCTTAGGGGCTCGTCGCTTTGGACTTTAGTAACTTAATTACCGACTCGGCTTGACATGGAATACTGCACCGACATTTCAGACCATCGCAGAACCGTAAATGGTTAACCGCCAAATGATTAACTCATGGCAAACAATTACAAGAAGTAGCTGTGTGAGTAAAGCTTGAAAACCCCCCTCCTCGCGACCCATTTTAATATATTTTGAATTTAGAAGCAAGCCTTTACTCATTGCTGTCATTTGCATGGACCCTCACTCGCCCAACAAATTATTTGCGACAAAATATTGTTTTCTCATACTCGGAGATGAGCTTCTTTTTCTTAATCATTTCTTTATTTTTCGTTTGTTTTTTTTGTTGTTGTTTTATGTTATTTTGTTATTATTAATTTTTACAAAAACTATGTTATTATTATCATTTTATTTAATTAATTTTTTTTCATGAAAATTGCTTTTATTTTTTCATGTTCCGGGATGTTCCGGCATGTTCCGGAATGTTCCATGTTCCGGGTTTTATCGACGCCCGTAGTATGATGCCACTGGAAGGATGAAAACTGCTTTTTGAAAAATCTTTGGATTGAAGGAGAAACAAACAAAAAACATCCGGTTTAGTAAGAATCTACAGTGAAACCCCGCTTTACGGCCACCTCGAAAATAAGGCCACTTTTTTGGCACCCTGGCAAAAACCGCCATGCATTTTCTTGTAGAAAAAAACCCTCGTTAATAAGGCCGAAGTTTTTTGGCCCATTGGTCGTATTAACGGGGGTTCCACTCCCGTTCCACTGTATATATGATGGCATTACCAAGGTGCAGGGAAATATTTTAATGACAGGGTTAAACATGAGGATTTCATGAGTTTGGAAATATTTCAAAAATTGATTAAAGAAAAGAACAATTAAACGATTCGGTTTCAGTGCTTTTGGCTAAAGGAAGCCCTTTGTTCCGATGGTGTCGTTGAGAGCAGATTTCACGATGATACGACTTAAAGGATGACGACTGCTTATTGAAAAATTTTTGCGGGCAAGAGAAAAAAAGAAAAAATTACAATGTATCGACATTCATTCTTTCGCTCGTATCCGTATTAAATTGTCATGTAACAGGCGAATGTTGTGACAAGGAATAGAGGTAATGTTACGTTACGACATTATGATCTTATGTTTTGAAAAAAAGTATAAAAGTATCAGCTTCATCAGGTCGAAATTATGCAGTTGGTTAAGAAGCCCTTTGTTCGACTTGTTCCGATGTTGTTTAGAGCAGATTACACGATGATTTAGTTGACAAATCTCAGCAAGAAACAAGAGGCAAAAGAAAACTACCACAAAAACATTCATTCTTTGACTCGCATGAGTATAATGTGTCATATCCATAAACTGCTGTCACGAAGCGGGTAAATGTTTTGATGAGGAGCAGAGCAAATGATGTCATGGGCTTGGAATTAGGAATATTTATTTTGAATAAATTTAAAAAAAATAATAAAACAAAGAATTCAGCCTCATCGAGAATGTTGCTGTTTATTATTTGCGGTTTTGTTGAGAGCAGAATACTCAGTAAGAGCACTTTTCAAGGTGAAATTTGCTTTTAAAAAAATCTCTGCAAGAAAATAAAAACCAGTTTATATCCCAAAGTTGCCGTAAAACAGGAAAATGTTTCAGAGACGAGAATAATGGGGTTAGAAATATTTTTAAGAATTATTAGACAATATAAGACTTCGACCTTACTCCATAATTTTTATCAACTGTTTTCGCGAGAATAATCATCGGAGAAAATATATAATTTGCTCAAAACTAAGATAATCCCTGTTTTTCTCAGCACTTGTCGATCGCGTGACATGTTCTTTTTTACTATGGTCATGCGTATAACAAGCCAGTGACACGCGACAAACCACCTTCCGACTGACGGGATTTGCAAGTGAATTTGCGCAAGGTTTGCCATTTACAAGTGTAAATAACCTTCAAGTTGGTAATGCTTCTTTTGGTCGGTAAGTAAGGTCAATAGCAGAGATGTAAGGTAAAACAATATCATAAGGCCAAGACCTTGTTCCTTGGGTCATTTTACACTGGGCTTAATTTTAGAGCACAGCTAATCGTTTTGCTTTGTGCCCTCAGCCGGCCGCTTCTTTCGGAGTGTTTGCTGTGTATTCCATTCCGCATATATGAAACAATACTTCTAAAACTCTTTGTAAAATACACGAACACGCCGGGACAACATGTCTGTAACTTGAAGGATAACTCAGATCTCTTTAGTGGAGGTGTTAAATTTCATAAATACACTTTGAATTAGCAAGGCACGCTATTTGGAGGGATATTTAAGATATAAATATTAAAACAGTCTTGTCAGTTTTTATGCTAATTTCTAAAATGTAATGGTAACCATGTACTTTGGTAGCAAGTACAAATCCTATTGGGTTATTTTATCACAAATTCTCTGATTTTATTTATTTTTATTATTTATTTATTCATTATTTTTTTACAGTGGCAACATATTTTGTACGAATCATATTTTGCGTCGGTTAATTTGTAGCATATAACGCGGAAAGCCTTAGCATTTACCCTTCAGAAAATTTTGGTTTTAAAATTGAAAAAAAAAATGTTCGAGCGAGTAAATGCACCTATACACTATACGTGTAACTTACAATTAAACGAATTCACCCTAACTTAGATTGCTGAATTGAAGAAAAGTACAACTGGGATTTTGAAGAAGAAAATATAAGGGTCAGTATTTTTGTATTTTCATTTTTTATACAACAAAAAAACCACTGTTTTGTAGGTTTGTTCCTGGTGGTTAAGGCACTTGCTGCTGAAGGTAAGTGAATGAACAAGTTAAAAGCCTGTGCTTTAAGTCCTATGGCGATGAACATATAACATTCTATAATCAGTTCGCCGAATATGTATTATTATTGTTACCCGGTGTATAAAAGCGGCAAAGATGGGACTTTAATAGGAAAACAACTTTTTCTTGAGTACGTATCTTTAAAAACCCCCACCCCGAGAGCTCAAAATTTCCTTTTTATGTCATTCTACTGATTGGTCTTTTTATGCTGGTAGCTCTTATAGTATTTTTCTTTTTAGAAATTTTAGTCACGTTTTTTTAAGGTTTTTTAAACAAGAAGATTGCAAGTAGACGTAAAGAACTAAGATCATCGCCGTTTAAGACTTATCTTATGCAGTTGCGAAAGGGCAAGCAACTGAGCGTGAGTTTTTTCAGGCCTCGATCAGTTTTCCTCACACTCGTCACCGAAACAACATCTATCACAGGGAACAACACTCAGCACAAGCAAACTCAATGAATTGCTTCTTTAACTGCCGGCGATGATCTTCTTTTTAATAGTCATTTCTTCGTTCCGCGGTTCCAACACATGAGATGATTCAGTTAACGACAGTCTTTACATCTTCTTGCGAATTTTTTTCTTGCTGATCAACTAAACATCATATGAACTACTCATTTTATAGTCCTTGAGTTCCCGTTAACCTTTTTCCATAGGCTGCATCTCAAATCAACCATCAACAGTTTCCTTGATAGCTACTGAAAATGAGCAAGTTTTACGAGAAAATGTTTCACAGTGGTTGCCAGTCAACGCTAGCTGTCAATGGAACATAACGGCTCCTGTTGGCAAGGTGGTTAGAATCAAGGTCAGAGCCAGCTTGTTGTCAGGTTCCTGTAAGGATGTATATATAAAGATCCTCGATGGGCCAAGTAATTCAAGCGACCTGATTACAAAGTACTGCAAAGATGGCGTCAGTTACACGTTTGGCAGTTACTTTTTTTCTAGTGGACGTTTTGTGTTTTTGGAGCTCAAGACAGGAACAGGCTACAATAATCGCTTGCGAGTGACATATTATGCAGTGCCTTTTCAAAGTAATTATCGTATACAGCCTCTGATTTAAAATACTATAATATGACCTGTGGTACATCCTTAAATCAGTTGAACATTCTAAAAAGGAGAAATAACAAATCAGCATTTTTATCAGTTGGTTATACAGTGGAACCTCGATTTAGCCATCCTCTATTTAACAAAGTTCTCGGTATAATATAACTAACGATTTTCTTCAGCCCCGCCAAAATTACAATCCAACGTGTGGAACAGAAGCTCAATGTAACGAAGGCTCGATTTAACGAAATCCTTTTTATATAAACGAATACAATCCAGAAACGCAAACGCAAACGCAAACGCAAAATATGCGAAACAGTCCAACGAGGATAAAATGTATGTGTACAGTTAGTTTTAAGCATTTTCGTTTGCCTTTTCTTGTGTCTCTAGTGCCGTAGCTATGTACAGCTCTGAACTAAGACAGGAGCTTCGTACACAAATGTTTATTACAGAAGTTGTTCAGATCCGGAAATGCTGGACGTTGAAATTCATCATTAACTATATCCTCGCTATAACTAACATTTTGCTTGAATGTTTTCCCAAAAATTCGTTAAATCGAGGTTTTCCATATGAACAAATTTTCCCAATCCCTTGGCACTAACAGTTAAATCGAGGTTTCAGTGTACTACAGTCCTCCTCATCGGTTGTCCTTAAAGTGAATAAAGAAACACTGTAGAGGAAAAGTTGCTTTCAACGAGCAGCTGACGAAAAGTCAGAAATCTAAGTGATGCCTGGGACTCGATCGCCTTCATCGCCTTACTCTTTGTTGGGCTCTTGGTCAATGCAGACGAGCGAAAAAACCTGGCGATCAGCAAAACCGAGCGAGCCCGAAAAGCAGAAAGAGATGGCTTATAAGCAACCTTTTGAAAACTACAACGTCCACCTTCAGGAAAACGTACCGTCTGTCTTGGCAAAATGTCAAAATGCCCGTCCTCCTAAATCCCTAATCCCACGCGGTTTTCAAGCAACTTTTCTTGATCTGCTTTCCGTGCTATCTTGGAAATTGAACATTCCACTGTACCCTTAAAGAAGGCCATTAACCGCTGTACATCTCTAATTTCAGATTGTTCCTTAAACACGACCTTGGACGCTCCGCAGTCTCCTTCAGAAAACAACTTTTCCAGCCCTTACTACCCTCTCGGCTTTCCCATGAACATGACCTGCGGATGGTTCATCACAGCCCCAGAGAATCAAACTGTAAAGCTTCAGCTTACATCGCGGTTAAGCAGCTCTTACAAGTCTTCAGACAGGGTGGAGGTTTATGATGTCGATGGCTCAGAACTCAGTGCCAATAGCCTTCGTTTGAGTAACCCACACGCCAAGACTGATACTATATATTCTAAGTTCCGTAGTCTGTACATCCTGTTTAAAAGTGATGGTCACCCTCAACAAAGCCTGTCAGAGAGTGGAATAATAGTTTTATACACAGCTTTTGAGACAGGTGAGAACGATTACCTTACAACTCAAGAATGTATTATCCCCAAACCATTTTCTTTTGGTTATTTCCCTGCATGTGGGTGGATTCAAGTTGCGTGGCGTGACTTAGTAGTTTTCGTGTCCTCTCTTCTTACACCCACCTCTTGCACTAAATCTGAACATAGGTTATACTATACGCGCTTGGAAGTAGTGGGCAGAAGAAAAAACGAGCGCGCAAGAAGGAGACACGCGTGTCACAACCCCCGCGTGTCTCCCTCGCGCGCGCCCGTTCTCCCTTTCGCCCACTACTTCAAAGCGCCTGCTATGCAGGCTAGATATGGTGAAATGTTGCCAATGCCACTACCACTTGTCTTTGATTTGTCATAGGTTTGTTATTGTATGTTTTCACTTATATAACCTTGAATATTATACGTTTTGGGGGTAGGCACAGCGAAACTGCAGGCGGAGAAAGAATACAACTTTGCGAGGGAAACTGAGGTTTCCAAGGTCACTGTAGCTTTTGATAAAATCAGTTCCTGTTTCATGCAAGAGACAGATTTAGAAACGACGTTGCAACGTCAAATGTGTCTCCCAGGGCTACTCAATTTACTGCTATCCTATTGGTCAAACCGGTTTTTAAATCTACTTGCGCTGTCGTTTCTGTCTTTGCATTGTCTTCGAAGAGACATCGCTTTTTATAAACATTATTTTTGTTATTCAAATTTGTAACGAGTATAACAAAAGAATCTATTTTTGCAAGAACCAATACACTTCTGGTTGGCACATTGATACCGAAAGGTGACGACGCCCTTCAAAAATCTGGGAAACTAACTGTTTTCATTGCTAGTATAATCTTTATTGTCGTTCAGTGCCCTTGTAAGAAGTATAAGTATCGGCATACTCTGTAACTGTTTCCATCGTAGTCTTTTCCCTTCCTCTCTTTTAGTGCCCACTTGTTCGTCATCCAACTCGAAGGACCAGAACATGAACATCATATTAAAAGATCGCTCTGGTATCATCAAAACGCCCGGCTATCCCTCCAACTTTCCAACGAACCTGATTACTCAGTGCTATTGGAAGATATTAGCTCCGAAAGACCACGTAGTGCGTTTAGATTTCATATCATTTCGCATGGGGTCGTCACATTGTGTCTACATCCATGACAGCATAAACAAAGAGAATCCTGTGGAAACTTTTAAGTGCAGATCTAAGACTTCGTTTACTTTTTACGCGAGTGGAAGAGAGGCAAGCTTAACTGTTTATCGCATTCCCTACTCTGATGTTACCAGTGGTCCAGGATTCATCGCAAATTACTCGGTTACACCTATAGGTGAGCGGGCAAGGCTCTATCTACGTTATCTTGGTTGCCAGCCTTTATTAAATTCTCATGATCAAGCTATGCGCACGGTTGTTTCATCCTGGTGATTTCGAGAACGGACCTCTCACTGGAGCCAGGCCGGGGGTACATCTACGTAGCAGCCTAGCATAAACTCAGAGATCGTTTCCCGAGTTAAATGGCACTGAGATTTTTTTTGTCAAGTATAGACAAATGACTCCAGCTCAAATTTGTCAAATTGTAGTCCCCTTATGACACCCGAATAACCTACTTGACATGCGTTTGTAAGGGAAGGAGTGGAGCAATTAGGAGTGTGAGTACATAAAGAACGTCTGCGCGAGAGAAGAGTTTTTTTTTTCAAAGTTCGCTACGATTACTTTAACTATTTATTTATTTGTTTATCATCATTTTGCCGTACAACTTAAATATACGCATAAAATTAAGAAAAAGATGAGGCAAGGGAGCCCAAGGAAGCCACTAAGGCTTGTGTATAGGACCACCTTTAAAAACATATCACCTAATTAATAAATAAAATACTGGCATCGTCAAGACAATTTAACTGAGCACATACAAATTAAGCTATCCGTTACAGTGTGAATATAGCCTAAGTCTGGTGAGCTAATGGGAAAGAGAGAAAAATGAGACAGAGAAGGAAAAGCCCAGTCTGTCCGATTATCCTCTCTTCACCTGGTTAATAACTTACCTAGATAATGTAGAATGGTGATTTTACAGCCCTTTCAAGGGGTTTATGTACTTATGCTTTACGCACTCTGATTTTAAAGGTATCTCCTCTGGTACTTGCTCCCTCAAAAACAACACTACCGTGCACATGTCTGGCGAAGGACGGAGTTTTACAACCCCAGGGTATCCAAAAAACCCAGGAATAGGAACTTGTGCTTGGAATATTACAGTACCCGTAGGAAAGTTCATAAAGTTAACATTTTGGGAATTTGCAGAATCATGCAACCAGAACTACGCTGACGTTTTTGATATCACAAACTCAGCGAGTCTACTTCTGGCGAAGAGATTATGCAACGAGAAAGTTATATTTTCCAAAGGGAACAACGTTCTTGTCAAGTATTCAGGGGTGACTTTGGACCAGTACAGGGGAGGATTTTTTGCCTCATACGAAGCTGTGGACGCTGTCCCTAAAAGTTATTCCTGCTCTGATAGAGGGTATATTTCCCGCCTGAGAGCGTTAAAGGGTGAACTTGCAAGCTTCGATTATCCGTTAAACTATCCAAATGACGCCGAGTGTTCTTGGACTATTGAAGTACCAGCCACTTATCTCGTTCAGTTTACTTTTCACTCGTTCGACGTGGAGCAGTCGCAAGATTGCAGAGCTGATTATGTGGAAATCAAGTCTGGAAAACTGAAATTTCATAAAGACGTGGAAACAATTGGCAAATTTTGTGGCTTCTCGCTTCCGCCATCATTTGTATCAAACTATTCGAGAGTGTATGTAGATTTTGTGTCTGACAGCTCTGGAACATATCCAGGATTCCATGCAAGCTTCAAAGCAGTTCCAAACCGTAAGTAACTGGGCTAATACTGGACTGTAGTTAACGTGGACAAGTACCCGTAGACTAGGGAGTGCGTACGACATAGCTAATATATAGGAGCTGGCGTTAAGCACTAGAGTTCTCTTTTAAACCTGTCTCGAGTAGAAGGGTAATCCTCCCAGCCGAGTCAACTTAAACGAGGGTTTAAATGAGAAAAGGGGCCCCCTTTGCCGGAGACAGCAGCGAAAAACATCTTAGATGGTTCTCTAAGTTATCTTACTTTTATAACCGATCAGAATGCACGCAGAAGTTAGCATATATCAGTGAAGTTTTGTTCGTTTTATTTTGTTTAATTTCAGCGGCCATGGGACCATGCAACGTCACAGGAGTAGACAATGTTATCCCGCTGACTGGTGAAACAGGAAGACTTTTCTCACCTCTCTATCCACAGACTTATCCCAACGACATGATTTGCACATGGAAGATAACTGTGCCAGAAGGAAACTTCGTGAGGCTTAGAATAACATCCTTTGATTTAGGATTCTCTTGCAGAGTCACTGCACTGAAAATTCATGACGGTCAGAGCTCATCAGGCAACTTGCTCAAATCTTTCTGTGGACGAACATTTGACCGTTCAGTGTTTTCCAGCGGTCGTTATCTTTGGGTTCGATTCCAGTCTCCCAAGGATGGTTATGTGTTTGGAACTGGATTCAATGCCGTGTTTGAGGCAGTTACTCAATGTAAGGCAATTTTAAATGACTCTTGTTATTTATTCCACTTTAACAACTGCGTCGCTTATTGGAGGAGGGTGTCGGGGATGTCCAGGGGCTTCCACTTTTTGCAAAGCCAGCCCCTAGACAGAGTTATGCGTCCATGGCTGGTAAACCCGCGCCTTCCAACCTTGAGCCCCTACGCTAACGGAATCAGGCACCTGTCACACTGATTTATCAAGGAAAAAAAAAAAAACGGGAGGGAGAGCGCGGGGTGGGAGGAGGGATGGGGGCAAAAGAGGGAGGGAGGGGGGTGGGAGGAGGGATCGGGGCAAAAGAATGATCCAAAGGCTAAACGAAGAGAGTGGCCGCCAGGAAACGCTGTACTAAGCACACGGAGATGATACAGGCAAGGCTGACCGCTCCTGAGCCACCGCACTGACCGCTGACCGAGTTAGTTTGTCGCATCAAATTTATCCGAGTAGCAACAATACCACGGTTTTTTAAAGGTGTTTGGCATAGGGAGGCAGGGTGAATGTTGCATCTATTTTCCCTCCGTTTTGCTTCAAAACTATTATGTTAATGAGTATCTTCTTAACAAAAAGTTCTCTTCGTCTCTTCTTCTTAAAGGCTACAACATGATAAAACAATTTGCATGATTTCAAACTTGTAAATATGACTCTAGTGCGCGCGCGTGTTTGTACTTTTTATGGGTTGAGCAATAGAAATGCAATCTACAAATTTGAAGGAAACTCAGTGTCAAACATAACAATGATTTCCTAAAATTTTTTTAAGTCAGTACCCACATTTTCTTCGGTACAGTCAACTCTCTTTATTGCGGACATTGTAGGGACCTCGAGTTAGTGTCCTCTTTAGCCAGAGTCCGTAATGGCGAGAGTTTATTTCAGTCAACTGTCTGTAGTTTATTTTTGTCCGGGATTTAGGTGCCGTCCAAGTTATTGGGTGTCCGCAAGGGGGATCCCCAATAGGGTTCTTCAATCCCGTGATCCCGACCCAGAATTTCGTGCAATTCCGTAATCCCGAGGGTAATGGGTTAATCCCGAGCTTTAATTAAGGGAAATCCCGGATCCCAGAACCTATTGCGAACCCTCCGCAAGGCGAGAGTTGACCGTATAAGTTACGAGATTATAAATTCAGTGCTTTATTTTCAGTACCAGCTCCCTTCTCTTGTCGAAGCGACCGGCTGACCAGCTTTAAGTCGGACACTGGGACCCTTGCAAGCTACAACTATCCACTTCCCTATGATGACAAGATTGAATGCACGTGGACCATCAGAGTTGATCTTGATTACAGAATAAGACTATCTTTTGATTTCTTCAATCTGTCCCAGTCCAGTGATTGTTCTGTAGATTACGTGGAGGTCCGCGACGGCGCGTTTACAACGAGTGATCTTATTGGAAAGTATTGTGGAACTGAGAAACCCGAGTCAATAACCTCAGATTCCTGGGACATGCGTGTCACATTCAAGTCCAGTGGAAAAACCAGCTACCCTGGTTTTGAAGCCAGCTACAAAAGAAAAAGTAAGTATGGACGGTTTTGTGTTACCCGGGGGTACGCCCAGGAGCTGAGGGGTACCTTTTTCGGGCTTCTGGTATATAAAAGGGTAGGGAAATCTGTCCTATCGGTCTGAAAAAGGACCTAAAAGCGCTCACTGACGCATTTTTTTGATTTAAAAGAGACAAGAAAACTTCATGGTTTAGTTTTTTTATTCAAATTAAAAAGATGGTGCATTACAGTAGTTAAACGGGATATAGTGTTCTTAACTATAGGAATGTGAAAGGGATATCATTTTGTCAGTAGAAGGTGTAAGAAAAGGGCACATTTTCTGTCACGATGGTATATAAAAGAGTAAGGGGTTGGACTTCGGGACGCAGCCTTGCCGAATAAAATTCCGTTGAGTACCCCCCCCCCCCCAAGTTGCTACATAGCGTTTACATTGAAGTGTTTATGGGTTCAGCTCAATTCACTGGATTCAGCCGTTCCTCTCTTCTGGTTTACCATATACCTCCGTGGAGTGTGAATCAGAGAAACCTCGTCCGCAAGACCTTTCCATTGGAAAATACAGTGGCGACCACCTCGAAAATTTGAAAAGTGGTCTTAACTATGGAGCTGGTCGCTTGCGAGAATGAGCTTTTGTAAGCGACCGCATGGTAAAACAATAGAGGTTGGTTGCTTACCGGAGCTTCAGAAACTCATTAATAATTCATCAAGAAAAAAAATGAAGTCAATGTTTAATGAGTGTCTTTACGTCTAATAATAAGGACACGGCTAAACTTAACATCTAATTTTTTAGACCCAGAACTAAATATGAGAGCCATTTGAGCAGTGTGCAGTTTGACTCAAGTGTTGGTTTATATGAATAAGACTCTAAGAGGTCACTTACGAGAGTTTAAAAACAAAGGAAAAGTCCAGTTGGGTAATCCCAAAAGTCGTCGCGGTCGCTTATAAGAGCTTTTCGTTACAAAGTTTAAGTCACAGTTCAAACGGGGTTCTGCAAACTAAGGTGATCGAAACTGGAGCTGGTCGCTTACGAGAGTGGTCGCAAGAAGAACTTTGACTGTACAGAGGGGGAAAGCACTAAGGATGAAGTTGAAATCAGGGTCAGTTTTTCCAAGATTTTTATAAAAAAGCCACTGAGATACTATGAAAATGCCATCGTCATTTGTAATTTTATTCATTACAGCCCTTCAATTAAAGTAAGGTAGATGCTTTGTTTGCAAACAACAATAGACCCCTATGGGATTCAAGTTTACGAACCCCATGAACCATTTCCAGCTGGACATCTTTGCCACGATGAGACAAAGCGAAAAGGAGGAGAAGCTAGGAAGAGAAATTCTCTCCTTTCTCTATCTCTCCTACCTAGCATGCTCAGCAGTCCATTTTCTTCCTTAACATAACGGTGTGTGGGTCCGGGGCAAAATTTTTAACGTACGAATTTTTTACCTGTGTAACCCGTTTACGCGGAACGGTACAAATGCTTTTACAGATTGGAGTATTGTTTACATAAGTCCATATATACTTCTGATCAGGACAAAAGCGTGCACGCTTTCGCGGGTCCCGTGTAAACGAAAGGTTGAACCGTGCAAGCTTTTGTTCGTTCGAAAATTTGTTCGGACTCGTGTAAACGGGATCTAGTGGTGCAAAAAACATGCAATACGAATAACTCTGGCGTATTTTTCCTCTCTCCTGCTTAGAGTCGACTACCGCCATCCTGAAGATTGTGGGGATTGTTCTTGGTGCACTGTCTGCGTTTTGCGCGCTTGTCGCAGGATGTTGTAAATACTGCTGTAATTCAAACAATAGCCGAGATGCTCCCGTTGTTCAGGAGTCAGAGAATATCAATCAGATTCCTGGATTCAGTAACTATACCTCGCAGGAACAGGTAGCGACAACCAAAATGTAGCTTGAAAATATCAGCTGGACATAACCGTGAGTGAAGATATGTACTGCGATATCTGACTTGTCCCCAGTCGGATCGCACGGGTGACCGAAGGGAGCACGATGGGTGATGGGAAGGAGACGAGAAGGAGAAGGTGACTGGGGACGAGTCAGGTGCGATATGTAACCTTGATGAGGAGGACTAAACATAAACAGCTGACTTAGGGCAAGAGATCATTCTCTCTTGCTTAGGGATACTCCCTATCGATATCAACAGGATTATCGTTGTACCAGCAACGAAATAACAGCATTAGTTTTTATACTTGCGGCGTTATTTCAATCTTGGTGCTAGGAATTTTTTTCTAAAATTGTCAAGTGGGGCGTAGGTTTCCAGCAGCTCCGTCAATGTTCGTGAGGTTTAAGCAAAATCTCTGAAGGCGTTTTCGAGATTTTTTAATATGAAATTTTTATCATGACAAATCAATGTACAGTAAAAACTGGACAATCTTGATGTTCAGCTGTTATCTGTAAAGAACGAGGTGCTTTTGAATTGCAATTTCGCCTCTGTCATTGTACAGATCATTGTAGCGTTGCGTCGCAAAAGGGGCAGGGAGGGGGATCAAAGGGGGAGAAAAAAAAGGTAGAGGGTGCTCTCCGGCCCCAATGCCTGCCTGCTCCGACGCCTGCTACGCAGGTGAAGAATTTGGAAACCGCTCCATAGATTTTTTTATAAAATTGTATATTCTCGAGATTGATCGCCTATTTGTATGACCTTTAAGTCAACGTCAGGTTATCGAAAACTTTAAGGCATCAACTTTACGGCCTCAATGCGCTAATCCTGACAACTGAGACTCTCTCATTATTTAGGAGTATTGTCTCCACTGAGTTTTATTTTTACGTGAACAGCAGTAATAATTAACTAACAATGCATTTTAATTACACAGAAATGTTATCTATATTTGTCCAAGAAAAAAATGAAACTTGGAGACAATTCTTCTGTTTTGCGCACAGAATTATGTCCTCGCGACAGAAATTTTTTCACTTAGGCCATGTTTACACTTTGATACCGGATAGCTGTTACGCTAGTCTGCTACACAGCCGTTTTTAGTGTCGTCACGCAACTCTCCTCCCTACTAATTAGTGGGGAGGAACGTTGCGTGACGACACTAAAAACGCCTGTGTAGCAGATTACTGTTGCGCCGGCTTCTGCTCACACATAAGAACGGTGATGTCGACGTCATTTCTGTAACGGCGCGCTGATCTCGAAAGTGGAGTGTCACATACGGGATAGGTTCTGTGACAGACTTTGCTGCAGCGTGAATAGGTATTCGGGCCGAAGGGACGGTAGCCTCCCACGCAGGCGTTTTTAGGGGAGCTCGTTTTTCATCCCTCCCCACAAAACGCCTGCGTGGGAGGCTAAAGGGACGGAAGTAAATATCCAGGAGTGAGGATTGGGATTTAGAGTAAATTATCTCGGCCAAACGCTCCGGCTCAATGCTCGATGTATGTGAACGATTTGCTCTTGTTTCTGGCCGTTGCCGTTCATACTACACGAAAGGCTATCCGGTATTGTATTAATATAGCCTTGGGGTGAACGCACCAGCCTTAAGGCCATTAAAGAACAGTTTTGGATCAATCAAAAAACAAAAAAACTCTTTATAGGAACCAACGGGTAACTCTTGCTTAAGATAATCATATGGTTAAAGTCATGAGGATGAAGCAAATCATCAACTAAGCAAAAAGCTCTTGATGAACATAAATTTTTTTTGTAATTTCCCTCTTCGGCTTGGTAATCTTTGGTCCCGCCTTTAATATAACGTCCTAGTGCTCTGGATGGACTCTGGCACAAATGTCCAGTGCTGGCCACAAGATCCCTACTTTCCTTTTTCATCCTTAGTTCCACACTTCTCAGAGGTGTGGAAGTGTGGAAAAGTCTCACAAAGTCAGGATAATGTCACACTTTTCCCACAGGCACTAACCCCTTGTCATTCTTGACTTAATTCCACACTTCTCAGAGGTGTGGAAGTGTGGAAAAGTCCGACAAAGTAAGGATATTGTCGCACTTTTCCCCCAGTCATGAACCCTTTGTCATTCTTTACATAATTCCACACTTCTCAGAGGTGTGGAAGTGTGGAAAAGTCCGACAAAGTAAGGATATTGTCGCACCTTTCCCCCAGTCATGAACCCTTTGTCATTCTTTACTTAGTTCTACACTTCTCAGAGGTGTGGAAGTGTGGAAGAGTCCGACAAAGTCAGGATAATGTCGCACTTTTCCCCCAGTCTTGAACCCTTTGTCATTCTTTACTTAGTTCTACACTTCTCAGAGGTGTGGAAGTGTGGAAAAGTCCGACAAAGTCAGGATGTCACACTTTTCCCCCGGTCATACGAAACCACTGTCATCCTTTACTTAGTTCTACACTTCTCAGAGGTGTGAAAGTATGAAATAGTCTGACAGAGTCAGGATATTGTCGCACTTTCCCCCCAGTCACGAATCCCTTGACATTCTTTCCTTAGTTACACTCCTATGTATGAAATGAGAATAAAGCGCAGTGGGAGTATTTGTTGGTTTTATTCCTGCAACTCGTTTTACATCTTTTTAAATACTATTTTTAAGTTTAGACAACAATTCTGTGACTAGAAGATATTAGCCCTGTTTCACTGCCATCTGTTTGAATACCCGACCATAAAACAAGCCTACGTTTTCTCGGTCACGAAGTTCCCGTCAGTCCTTTATCTTCGTTTATTTATTTATTTATTATTCAACGGAAACCTCAACAACGTCATCTCATCTACGGATTTTTAATGTGCCATATATGAGACGTCTTATTCTGGGTTTTTCTCCTTCCTATAGACCTTTTCGGCTAACTAAATGGTGTACCCAATTCAAACCCTTTGGGTATAAATCGTTTTGTTTTAGGAATTTCCATATCATTTAAATGTGAATGCAACATTATAACGCAAATACAATACACAAAGAATCTTTACGCCGGGAGCTTTCAATTGGGTACAACTTTGAGTTAGTGGCGTCAGGTCTCTTAAGATCGTGGCTGTCAAAATATGCAAAAATGACAAGGAAAATGAACAGAGGACACTTCGTCTTTTTCATAATTTATGCTCAGCATTTACATAACCTTAGAGAAGAGGAAAAACTACGAAACAGTGGATACATGGCGTGATCTAACAATGATCAAATTTGAACCTGTACTGATAAGGAAGAAAGCTTGGTTGGAGATCGGATTTCTTAACTTTAAG